GCCTCGTCCGACGAAATTCGAAGACAGGCCTTGCACCCACAACGGGACTCGGACTTGGGTTGCGATGGTGCAATGTGTATTTTCCACATGGTACCACCACGCCACATTGCCATTAGCGCCCTTGGGTCACAGGGCTGACTTAAATTTTAAGAAGAGCCACGCTTCTCTCATTCGACGTTTTTGACGTGGGATCTTCTATGAGGCTAACTTGCGTTTTGATATTACAATCGACTACCTTACTTATACTCGAAAAGAGTATATTTCAAACTATCAATAAATATTGCCTAAGAGCCAACAATGCGTCAGAAAGACAAACTATATTTTCAATCATAATTGAAGATGTTACTCATACAATTGATGCAAAGGCTACAAGACAATAAGAAGACCTTAGATAAAAATATTGTAAATACCAAAACGTTTGTTGGAAGCAAGTCGTGAATTTGTCTAACCAGAGACAAAAAGAGTATTGTGTAGAGGCTTAAAGGAAATATTTCAAAATTGCTCTTATTAATTGAACTTAAAACCAAGTGTAGTAAAATCATGTCGAAAGCAGTTGGTTAAGAAAACTTCTTTAAACTATAAACAATGGCAGGTGAGTTGTGCAACAAAGCGTTTCTGCAGGAGAGAAAGAAACAGGATAAGAAACCAACAATTTGGGTATAAGAACCAGCTCAAAGCGACATGTAGCATCTAAAGTGCTTAAATGGAGTGAAAGTTTGCGCCAGAAATAGGTAAATTGGTAAACCTGTCCAAAACTTCATTGGAAATTCCTACCGAGGTGCTATCAAAGAGCTTGAACTTTGTCTTTTTTAGTGGCAAAGACTTCAAGGAGGAAATACTGGTAGAATTTATAATTTTATTAAACGGTCTCTCAGAGACTACTAAGAGGACATTAGGCTACCAGATACTGAGTGTCATACAAGAATAGAAAATGAAAAGTCTTGTCCAAGGTACAAATACAAGCTGACTCAATTTCAAATTAAGATATACCGATTATCACAAAATTAATAAAAAGTGTCTCAAATCAAAATCCAAGATATACAATTTGTCTTGAAACACATTTGGAATAAACGAAATATTACTCAGATATGTATAAAAATTGGTTTTCGAAGAAACCCTTAATAAATCCATGTTGGAGTACCTTATATTTAATTTAAAGAGACGAGTGAAAATGGTTCGTAATTAGGCCTCACCGGAAGCTGTGAGAGGCTATGATTGTAGATTTGTGTGAATAGGTGCTCGGTGCACCGCCCTAAATTGCAGACATCTGATTTTTCAACCAAATTATTGCATATTTCACTAAGTGGTCCTAGCTAAACCATAAAAGTAGGTTGCATTGCAATCGGCCACCTTCTTTGTTTTGCACTTGGTGAACTATCGTAAAGCACAATGTCTTGCTCTGAAGATGCCCGTCACGTGATGGACGAAAGTTCGGCAAGGATTCATGGGGATCGCAGGGCAGTGTGTTGAGAATATATTTGCACAAGTCTACAACCACAGTCCCAAGACAATCCCTCTACAGCTTCCGGTGAGGCCAACGTACGAATCCCTTCGACTAGCCTCTTTAATCGAAATAAAAGCTA